TAACAGAAAGAAAGCACAGAGCCTGGGGGTGGCCAGGCTTGAGAGGGGCTGGGAAGCATCAGAAGCGGCCGTCTCGGGCTGGCTGGGGGTCGCTCACCGGTTGTAGCCGCTCAGCGAGAAGGCGCCCTGTGGACAGGCGGACGTGCTGCTCTTGAAGTAGTAGATGCACCTCTTGTGGATGATGACGAAGCGCAGGGGCCCTGCGGAGGAGGACAGTTAAGGGGACTGAACCCAGAGGACACTCCACACCAGGGCCCTGCCATGGAAGGGGGGGTCACTGTGGGCCCAGCATGTAATTGGGCTGCTAATTAAAAGACATATTGTAATGGGAAAGTGTGCGGTTAGAGACCGCGCTTAAGTACTGAAGTGAAACGATATCAGTCTGGAGACTAAGGGCGCCTGATACAGGCCATGGTCTTTGCAATCGCTTGTTATGCATCAGAGAGTTGGACAATGACTAGGGAGGGTAGAAGGAGAATTGACGCCTTTGAGCTGTGGTGTTGGAAAAGAGTATTGAATGTACCATGGACTGCTAAGAAAATGAACAGGTTCATTCTGGAGAGGGTGAAGCCGGGCTGCTCCTTGGAGGCAAGGATTCTGGGGCTTCGTCTGACATACTCTGGACATGTTGCAAGGAGTGACCAGTCCTTGCGGAGGGACATCATGCTTGGGAGGGTGGAGGGATGGTGCAGGAGAGGAAGACCCTCGATGAGATGGATTGATTCAGTGACTGGGGTAATGGGAGTAGGTGTGTCAGAGATGGCGAGATTGGCACATGACAGGGCAGAGTTTAGGGCTGTTGTACAGAGGGTCACTATGAGTCGCAGGTGACTCGACGGCACATAACAACAACAACAACCAAAAAGTCAGTAGTTCGAGTCACTACCTGCCCCGAGGGAGAAGAGAGGAGGCTCCTTCCCTAAGACGTACAGGCTGGGAAGCTGAGGGAAGGCTGCCATGAGGCGGGCACAGCTGGAAGGCAGAGGGTCAAGCTTTCAGAGCCTCCATGGACAGGGCCTGACTTGAGCTGAGGAGACCAGCAAGGGCCCTGGGGTCCAGGGCTGGGAGACCAGAGGGGCCTCAGGCATGAGAAGCCAGGCTGGGATGCTACAGAGGACCTGACTGTCTCCTCCAGGCCAGCACTGTGAGGGGACAAGGGCAGTGCCAAGGCCCAGGCAGCATGCCAGCCAGCTACCTTGGACCAACCACTGCACTGGACGGCCATGCCTACGATGCTCCGCTGTCCATCCTGAGCAGTCCTTCTGAGGCCCAGAGCAGACCAGTTTCCATCTAAGGCGATGCCAGCCACCTCATGCCCATACAGGGAGCACACAGCCCAGCCTGGGGCACAGCCAGGCCCCTCAGAGCCAGGAGGTAGGGAAGTCCTGGGCACAGCAGTTGGAGGGACAGGCCAGGCCCTGGGGCTCTCAGCCAGCTTTCTGACAGCTGGGCACCCCCTAACCATGAAGCTCCCTGGCCCAGACTGTGTTCTAGGGGCCTGAGATAGGCCTATTCAGCTTGAGGGGTACATCCCCTAGCTGAGAGGGTCAGTGGGGTGCATGGCCTCACCATGGGAAGACTGGATAAGGTGAGGGTCCCTCCCGGAGCACTAGGTCAGCTCAGTGCACCCCAGGCCCGTCCCCCAATTACCCACAGCACCCTCTCCACAGTCCTGATGGGAAGGCCAACCCCAGGTCCCCCAGGAGTGCCCTCACCAGAGAGGACAAAAACTCTAGAAGTGTCTACAACACACCCAGTAAGGAAGCTGCGGCTCAGAGATGGTGGCTGCTTGTCCACGGAGGCCCAGCAAGGGTAGGCTCTGCCCACGTTCCCCCCCAAGGCTCCCCCCCAGGCTCGGTGGGGTTTCCTAAGGAGCTCCGCTGCCCCGCCCCCACCCAGGGACTCACATTTGAGCAGCTGCAGTTGGGTGCCACCCTTCTTGTGCAGGTAGCCGGCCTTGGCCACGCCCCCAGGCATGGTCAGCAGGTTCTGGGCACCGATGGCCTTCATGGGCACCGGCCAGTGCATCTCCTCGGCCGCCATGAAGCTGCCACACAAAAGGAAAGTGACAAGTGAACTGGGGGTGGGGGTGGGGACGCACAGTCACACACAGGACACATTTGGACGCTGGAGATGGTGACCCATGTGGAGTGGAGACCCCAGGCTTCCTGGTCCCTTTGTCAGCCCCCCTGGGGCCCCACACACACCCGAGCCCCAGGGACCCTGGGAGCTAGGCTTGTCCCTTCCGTGTTCGTGTTGTGCATACCTGCTGTATACAAGGGCCCTCTGAAAACCCCCAGCGCAGGTCCGTCAGGCCCTGGACCCTGAGCCCCCAGGGTTTGAGAACCAGTTGAGCCTCTATGGAGCCTACCTCAGACAGGAAGTCAAGGAGGGCTTCCTGGAGGAGGTGGCACAGGGATTGCCATCTAATAAATGCCAAGTGGTGGTTCCCCCTTGTGTCTCAGTGTGTGTGTGTGTGTGTGTGTAGGGATGGGCTCTGTGGAGTTTCCTTGGCTGTCATCTTCATGGAAGCAATCGCCAGGCCTTTCTCCTATGGTGCCCGCCTCAGTGTGGGTTAGAACTGTCAACCCTTTGGTCAGTAGTGAAACCAAGAGCCAACCGTCTGTGCCACCCAGAGACCTTAGGAAGGAGTTAAAAGAGTGCCAGGGCTGGGACAGGCTCCCAGCATCCTCCCCACAGCTCTGAGCCTCTGCTGGGTGGGCCCTTCCTGGGGGCCCTGAGACCAGAAAGTGGGCACCCAGAGCCCCAGTTTCCAGGGTCTGGCTTCCCTTCCACCTCCAGGCCTCAGTAGTCTGGGCTGAAGAATGGGAATGTTTGTCTTCAAAGAGAGCAGGAGTCGGAGGCAGCACAGCCAGCTCATAGCCCACTCGGCCAGCAGTGGCCAGCAGGCTCGTGTAACTGGCCTTCCTGCCTGAGCCAGAATAGCTGACCACCTGGCAGGCTGGCCCCTAGCCTCCCAGGCCCAGCGTTCCAGGCCCTGCCCCCTTCTTGCTTCTTACTTAGCCCCAGCTAGTAACTGGCTGCCTCTCCCTGAAGGCTGCAGCCTCAGCCTCAGCTGGGAACCCACATTTCCTTCCCATCCTCGAACTTATACTCATCCTTCAAAACCCAATGTAAGGTCTCCTCATCCCATCCGGTCTTCCCACACACCACCCCAGTTCCTCACAGTTGTGCCCTTCCGCCCCATTGTCCCTTTGCCCTTAACCCACTCCATCCCGGGCCAGCCCCTCCTGCAACACCATTGAAGTCCGAAGGACCCAGGCCTGTGGTCAGGGTCCTGTCTGTGAGCGCTGGGTCGCCCGGGAGGCCCAGTTTGCACGGAACTTTTGGCCACCACACACCCTCTCTCAAAATAAACAAGCCACACACACAAAGAAGGGCCCTCTGCTCGCAACAGCTCGCTTCCTCTGACAAATGGGGGCCACCAGGGACCCGCAGCCTGGTCTCCAGCCCCAACATCCCCCACCACCCTGGGCTCGGGGTCCCCAGCAGAAGCCGGGGAACAAAGGCACGGCCACGCCCCCGCCGCTGTGGACCCGGACAGGGATCCAGGCGGCCCGGGAAGGGGGCGGTGCCCAGCCAGCGTCCACCGGGGACCCCGTGCGCCCGCCTTTGTTCCCGCGCGCAGTGTGGGGCGCGATGCAGTCGGGGCGCCGGGCAGGGGCTCGGGGGGCCGGGCTGGGTACTCACGATGACCACGCGGCGGGCAGCGTGGCCTCCGGCTTC